ATGCAAAGAATTCTTTTTGCATTTAAAAATGAATTCAGAATTGGTGACATAAAAATGAATTCTTTTTGAACTTTTCGTGCTGTCTGGGATATATACATATACATAATAGATTTTAAATACGTATTTACAATATTACAGATACGTATCAAATATATGATTTACGTGTTTAATACATATCGAATATATATTGACATACGTATCTGATTTATAACGTCAATTACGTATCTAGACGCGGACATTCGGTATTAAACATGTATTTGGTACATGTATTTGGTACGTATTACTACGTATCTGCTATATAGCAACATTTCAAATTTTATGTATCTGCTATGTACTTGAAACATAAAATGCTGTGCGGGAAATTATATTATATGCATATTTTTTATTTATAATTATTTTTATGTTATATTATAAATATATATTTTATTTAATTTTGTCTTTATATATGACTTTCTGTGAAATTTATAATCTAAGTAATAATTTAAATTAAAAATTATTACTTAGATTTCAACAAAATTATGTTCTCTCTTCTATTCAAAATATATTACCTTACTTAGATAATGTAGGAATTTAACACTTCAGCAACGGATTATAATATCGACGAAATGATATTCTACTATAATCTACGTAGTCGTATAACTCTCGTCGCGTAGGCCGAGCGCTATGATCGATCTTTCTAGAAATTGTCGGACACCGTATGGATGCGCAGTGTTTGTTCTTTTGAGTCACATGTGGCGGTTAGTACATGAGAATGTCAACGAATTCAGATATCAATGTTGACGCGGTGAGTTTGTTTCAAGCATTGTCAGCGTTTTAATATATATGATATTTTGACTAAAAATGATACAGTCTGCAAAAAATATATTAATATTATTATTATTGTAATTTGATACATGTTTGTGAAGATGATTTATAGTATATCTTTATATTTTTAATATCTCTATAATTTTAAGATTTTTATATCTTTTTTATATCGCATATACATTACATGCATTATATTTATCCTTCTTTTAATTTAAGTATAAATTAAGTCAACAACGTTTTGAATACTAGTAAATTTAACAAAGAATGAAAAATTAAGAATTAATTCTATATGTTATAGATGAAGTCAATGGCTCTAGCTATACCACCGGATTCTCCAAAGAAACCCGTAAAGTCAACTGCAGTGGTGAAATATTCTGCGGTTCAAATACCAGCAACATACGCTCAATTGCAGTGCAACACAGACTTGAATCTTCCTCCTAGCAACTGGCTCAGTAGCTCAGCAGAAAGTTATGGTCTGCAAAATGTTTGGCCTCAGAGTACAGGATTCTCTAGCTTTCGCATGGCACATATGTTTCCCGATTGTGTCGGTGAAGTGGATGTGGTGTCAGATGCTGAGAATATAAAAAAATTACTTAAGCTACCTTATAATCATGATGTGATATCAATGATGGTACATCGTATTGAAAACACATTGTTGTTAGATGATTTTGACATACACAAGTATCTATTGAGACAGGCTGAGAATGATTGGGAATGGCTGAAAAAGTTCTTTTATGAGCACATCTTTCAAAACCTTGGTGATAAAGAGAAGCGTCTCTTCCACAAGGCATACAGTAGAAATAGTTTGCAACAAAGAAATCTGGTGTCTAAGTTTCTATATCATTCTATAGTGCCAGCGGATAAGAATAAACAGAGTGAGAAACCACAATTACCTGTGAAGACATTAGAACCATGTTTACCTGAACCAACGCAGGAGGAGAAAGTACCTGATCCAAACTACAATCATAATTTTGCAAGAAATGTCGTCTGGACATTTGAAAATATACAGATGCTTATTGGAACAGACATGCCAATATTTGGTGGTCAGACACATCCATGCATAAGTTTACGACTAAGAGACATGTCAAAACCTATCAATGTTTTAACAGGAATAGATTATTGGTTGGATAATTTAATGTGTAATGTTCCGGAAGTAGTGATGTGTTATCATTTAAATGGTATTGTACAGAAATATGAATTGATAAAAACAGAAGATCTTCCAAATTTAGATAATTCAAAATTTAGTCCTAAAGTAATTAGAGATGTGGCTCAAAATATTTTGAGTTTCCTAAAAAATAATGCAACAAAAGCTGGTCATACCTATTGGTTATTTAAGGGTAAGTTTGAAATTTGATATGTAAAAAAGATAATTTTTACATTGTCTTAAAAATATTATTTTGATTCACTGTAATATATTTCTCTATTAGGTAAGGATGATGATGTTGTGAAGTTATATGATCTGACATCATTGTGCAGTGATGTTTCGGAAGAGAAGGGACAAAATCCCTTCACCGTACCTGTTGCAATGTTGTTATACAGAGTAGCTCGCAACATGAAATATTCTCCCGATTATCATCGCCATCAGGGTACAATCAGAATGCTATTAAAAAATTGCATTCAGTTGCTGGCCAAAGAAAAATATCCACAGATTGTGACATCTGCACATTTTATGCTTTCGGATTTATATATACCTTCGGACACAGATCCAGCTAATCCAGGATTATTAGATCAAAGTGACGAGGAAGATGTTCAAAGCGAGTGTGGATGTATGAATCAAGAAAATGAAGAGGAAGAGAAAGAAGAGGAAGTTTGTGCGATCAAATCTTTGACTTTAGCCAACAGTAAGAAAGTTTGATTTCAATTCAATTTTTTCCCTGATTTTAAATTTCTTATTGAAAATCAATATTTGCAGTGAAGGAACAAATGGAACGTGAGCAGCTGAAATACAAAGCACCTCCAATTTCTGGTACAATAGAAGAGAGATGTCTATCCGGATTAGAACATGTTACTCATGGACTCGACTGCCTCCGATATTTTCCAACTGATGATAACGATGAAGAACAAAAAAAAGCGGAAGAACGTGACAAAGAAAAACAAAGATATGAAGAGATGCATCCAAATGTAGCAAAACCTTTTCAAGCGATTCCCATGCCTTACGCCCCATTAAATCAGCAAGACATAAATGCCAAGTCCGAAGAAAATTCGGAGAATCATAGTCCCGCGCATAAAAAGAAAAACAAACAAAAGAAGAAGAAGAGTGAAAAAAATGTTACAAAGGAAGTAGCGAATATGAATGCGTTGTGTAAACCGAAGACAAAAACATTGCCAACGTGGCAAGCGCCGAAAAAAAGTGACAATATTTGTTGGAGTGCACATTTGAAAACATTATTATATGAAAAAGCGTCGTTGATATTTGCTGTACTCGCCGAGAAAGAGTACGTGAATAAAAATTATGGAGCTTCTTTAAGATATATGTTAGAAGTATTGTATTGTCAGAAAATATTGGAAATATTTTGCGACGTAAGAAACGATAAATCAATTAGTTATCTGTTAGGTCGCGCGGGAGATTGTTGCTTTATGACGGTGCAAGACTGGTGTAACGTAGAAAAGCATAGAAAAGATTACGACGCAAAGAATGAAATGGAGGAAAAAATAGTCGAAGAACTGTTTAGTATGGATGATTTGGATATGAGTAAATATCGAAATTTATTTTTTAGAATTTTGCGATATAGATGTAATCAATCATTATTGATACGTATTTTATTATAGATGGTGGTGAATTGCTGCCGAAGGGATTAGATAGTCTCGAATCTACTTTGCTTTCTTCGTACAAATGTTATGAAAAAGCTTTGTCGTTGGAACCGATGGATATGGATAAAAATAACTTGTTGAGACGTTTGGGAAATATTCATAATGAGTTGGGTGTTCTTTATATGACTCAAGCAAGATGTATGTAAATTTTATATATTTTCGATGGAATAACAAGTTTGCCATTTATTAATTGAGGAATTTAAAAAATTCTTACAGCTCGATATCAGCAAGAGGAAGAGATTGATTTGCCGAACTCACCGGATGTAACCGCACTTTTAACGCGTTCGTTGACTCACTTGGAATCCGGCGTTAAAGCCTTCGAGACTGTCCATGACGAAGCAAATCTGGCGCTTTTACACTCTAATACTGGTCGACTTATGCGACTTTGTGCACATATGTACGGTAAACAGAACACGAAGGAGCGTCACTTTTACAACAAGGCATTCGCGAGTTATCAAAAAGCTCTGCAAGTCCTAGGCGATAGGAAAACAAATCCAGCAATATGGGACACAGTTATGTGGGATTTTTCGACAACATTATACGTAAAAGCCACGTTATTGCAGGATTATCCTACGGATGAATACAAGGTATATAGTTTAATTGAGCAATACATTTTATGCAATTGTGTAAATAAATTGATATATATTTAAAAAAATTTATCGATTAATAAATATGTTAATAAATTTTTTTCTTAATTTTCTATTGTAGGATGAGGAGGAATTGGGAAGAGAAGTAGTAGATACTCTCCAGAAGGCGCTTAAACATTGCGATATAGACACGCCGGGACCACGTCAACCGATTTATCAATTTCGCGCTGCAAACATTCAACATCGATTGGCTTCGTTATATCACAAAGTATACAGAAAAATTGAGACGGATGTGGATAGTAGCAAGAAAAAAACGAATTTGCAGTTATGCAAATTGTATTACGATAAAGCAGCGAAACTATTGCTTTCGTTAGAGCAAAGCACGGAATATTTAACTGTACAAATAGAAAGAATCGCTCTGGCGGAACATCAAGCGCGTAGTAAGCTTTTTTTGTTCAGAATATTTCCCGTCGTTCAAATTTTGCTTTTTGTTGTAACAATTTTTACGTTTAATTTTTCAGATAGTACATCTTTTAATAATAAATTAAAAGCGTACCAACATGGCCTGGATTTAGTTTTACAATGTATACCTATTATGGAAGTACTATGCGAACGAACTAATTCAACAAAACAAGAAACAGTCGATAATAAAACAGAGGATAGTAATATCAAATGCGAGAAAGTAGCCGAAGAACAAAAATTAATAGAGGACGATGAGAATCTCGTACTTTTGTTAGAACAAAGATTACAATTCCTTCTACGATCATTAACTAAGCTATTTTTGAGTAAAAGTCCCGTGCACAATAAAAAAGAGTATGTTTACCATTTATTATATAATTTTTTGAAGATTAATTGAAGATCACAACACACACACACACACACACACACACACACACACACACACACACACATATATATATTACACATATATACATATATAATTTATTATTTTCGACTATTATTTTAATTATTTCTTTTTTTTTCGATTAAATTTCAGGCATGAAACATTTGCAAATCTATATAAGCAGTGCTACACTCGAACATTACGACCAATAACGATGTCCGGATTTACTTTAGTAAAACATATGACGGAGTTACTACGAGAACTCGACGATATGTTAAAACAAGTGGAATCTTAATCAATATGTAAATAAATATATAATATACTAAAATATACATAGTTAGCGATTTTTAATGTATATGATATACGAGTTGCTTTTCAAAATTCACATATGATTATTATCCAATCTGCGTATTTTTTACTCTTAAAATTATGTATGTATGTATATATGTATGAAAAATATTTGTTGTTACATTAAATGCTAACTTGTATATAAAATTGTTAAAGACTGAATGATTCTTTTTATCTTATTATCATATGTATTATGAAACATTTTTATTCGAATACATAAATAAAAACATTTTATTACATTTTCAAACTAGGAATAAAGAATATCAAAAAACAGACAGTAATTTGTTTTCCGAAATACATATCACTTTATCTTCTATTGAAAAGATAATAGTTTAGTGAAACCTCTTAAGACGAAGATCAATTAAATGAAAATGGATTCCTAATAGGTCAATATTAGATTCTTCCTTGACAGTCTCTTCCCTCATTTCTTAATTGATACTTAATTCTTCGTGAAGGTCTTATCTCGACGACAGGCTGAAGAGATACCGCCGTGACATTTTAATTAAAATATAAGCAAGGTTGTGTGAAAGGCAAAGTCTAAATCTATTGCCAAGGTCGAGGTTTGATACATGTTTTCCCTATACGTATCAATGTACGTGCCTCCTTGTCTCCTGTTCTCTGAAAGATGGATGGTGATACGAGAGTTTGAATGAGTCTCTGCTTGGCTCATATATAAGTTTCTGATACAGAGCGAGCAAAGAGTTGTGCTCGACTCGATTCAACCCGACTCGGTCGAGCGAAAACTCGATAAAAAACTCATTTATTAGGGAATCCGAGATGAACCGTTGTTGCATGGCCGAGAACCGCCCGATCGAAGTCAAAGATTAAAGGCAGCATACCCTGGAGCGAATCACCACTGTGAACTCGATTGTGCGTGTATCGGAAACATTTTACATCAACGAGAAGTTATTACAAGATCGCTTTCATTAAATCTTAGATATATTGAAAAATTTCTCAAAAATAGATCTCATATTTTACAGAGATTTTTCATATGTTTATGTCATGCATGCACTTCTGCATGTATAATATATCAACTTTTTTGAGAAATATTGATTTTTAAG